TGCAATGGATTTAAGATCGTCACTCCATCTAAGGATCTAAAGACGGTAAGGGATCGCCCCTCAAGAACCATTTCTCCCCATCCTCATTCATTTTATATATTACTTATTAAATATTATTATTATTATTTGAATAAACTAAATTTACGTTATAATTAATAATAAAATAAAATCAAACGCCTTAATAATCAACTTGCTATATTATGTTTCTTTGATTCAATACATTGCTTATAACATATAATTACAATAACTCACACACGCATTTACCGTCCTATTTTTTTTTCCCAAATGATAATCCCTCAACGTCACGCATGATTAATGATAATGTCTTATTACCGCGATGATGCGGTGAAATATTTGTGACACGGGGTAAACAGCTTCGGTGACATCATTTGCAGCACTGTCATTGACGCCCGACGCGCCTGGAACAGGTTCTAAGTTGGGGCGTGTGGTAATGGTTACTGATCAAACTGATGAGAAATTAAAAACGATGACTTCATCAAGAAATATTTTTATGATACTTATAATGGAAAAGAATGTAATGACCATCGCCTATAGTCATGAATACCATGATGGGATCATCATGATGATGTGGTACATCGAGGTTTTCCCAAGAGACTACAGCATGGGGTTCTTCAAAAGGGGGGTAAAGAGGTTTCTTCAGGGTCGGAAACGCGCGCGTAATACCTCTGGTATTGCAGGCGTTCATAGGCTATGGTAACCGCTTACCATCAGGTGGGCCGTATTTATTTATTTATTTATTTGCTTCTTTACCACCTCAGTGGTATAAAAAAAAATTAAACCCATAATGTTTTTCTGTTCCTGAGGACTATAGTGTTATCCCTTCAAACACAAACGTGATGTACAATAGGTTCACAGTAGGTAAAAGGAAAACGTATGGAACAGAGCTGATAAAATTGAAACTGAGAATCGAAATGATACTTAAGATAGTTCAAATAGTATTAGAAATTTTATATTATATTTTAAAATCAATAAATATATATAAAATACATTTTAACGAGAGATATGCTCTTGAAAAAGGACTGTATATTTTACGAAATAATAAGACGGTCGCTGCTAGTGGTAGAGAAAAATATAATAACGAATCATGACATTGTCAGATATCAAAAAACAAAATAAAAATATAAAATTTGAAAATACCGTGCGTTTTTCAAGGCACTTTCTTTTTTTAAAAGGTGCGTTCTTAAAGAAAAGAGTATATTCCTTTTTAAAAGGCCGGCAGCACACCTGCAATGCCGCTGGTGTTGTGGGTGATCATGTGAGCCGCATGCTCGTTTGCCCCCTGTGTTGTAAAAAAAAAAAAAAAAAAAGATATCTGAATAGATGAAATTTAAAATTATATTTTAAAATCAATAAATATATATAAAGATATATGTATGGGCTGTATGAAAGATGATATAGACAGAATAGGAATGGATAAAGAAATGACAGTAAAAATATGTCAGTTGAATGGAAGAAGAAAATATATTACGTTAATGCGTGATAATGGAATAGTAACTCCACCAGAGCTATCGGTATACGCTGGCAAAGCACCAGTGAGGGATGGTAGATGACAATAAAAGCAGGTCAGTTAGCCCATTGTGACGAATTCCACTAGATTTAACCACGTTGGCTTCCAGAGGGAACCACATGGAAGTCGACCTGACAAAGGGTGTATTGATAACATTGGGTCAGTTAGACTCTATTACTAACAATCCCTTTCCCCCCTATCACGCCGATTACAAATAAACGATTGGGTGTAAATTCAGGAAAGTAATAAAATAAATAGACATTATAAATTACTTTAAATCTATTGTTGTCAACATTTAAATTAATTGTTGAAACTGTACACAAATGGAAACAGTAGTCAGTCAGCGTGGAAAATTTAAAACAAAAACTGCAAATGAGACGGAAACAGGCGCGGTAGTTTGTCGCAGCGCGTGCTATTTAACGATTTGCCTAATTAGAAATGATAAATGCTAGCTGCACACTAATTTCACATTAAACCAATGGAAATTAAATTCCTTGATTTGAATTATTTCCAGCACTGTAATGTAGGATGGATTTAGCTGTTCATATTCTTTATTGTTTGCGTGTTAGCTACTGATCCACACACAACTCTGGCATATTTAGGAGTCCAGTTCTAAAACGACAACTACTGTATCCTTATAAAACTATAATATTAATATTAGTTAAAAAACTACAGTTATGTTTTTTTACAAATAATTTACAATTCGTTTCGTTTCGTTTAGTTCGTTTTGTTTCGTTTAGTTCGTTTCATTTCGTTTCGTTTTATTTTATTTCATTTCATATTTATGCTAATTGTTCGTTACGTTACGTTAATACTGTAACGTTTACACGAAAAACTCTGTAATTATAAATTATAATAATTATATTTCATTTGTTGTTACTGACTTTATTTTAGCAAATTCATCCACATGACCACTACATGTTTTTTTTCAAATGGAATAAAAAGTAGCGTATTATTTTTATATTCTTATCCATTCCATATATTACACATATAGTACATAATGTTTTTCTACCGTGAAGCAGTTGTGTTTACATGGCTGTGTTTCGGTTTGAAAGGTGGGATATGGCAGTGAATTTACAGGGTACAGAAGAATAACAACTGAGCACTCAGGAATGGCAACACATGGGGCGAAACAATATACTCTGTTATGTCCATGGTACTGCTCATGTCTATAGGCGACGTTTTCGATTTTCCATCAGATGGGCAGTCAGCTTGTTTGTCATTCTAAGTTGCATAAAAGATTAGTTGAGCCATTAAGGTACTAAAAAGTAATAAATAAACTCACTTTCACATTTATAATATTAGTATTTTATTAATGATTGAATACAAATATGACAAAATTTACCAAATAGCTTATTCAATTTCTATATATCACAAATAAACTTTTGTAATTTAAAATTTTTATTAAGAACTAAATGCAACGTTTCACTGTAAAGATAAAAGCAATTCTATGTTTCGTATTTTGTATTGTACAAAGAAGCAATTAACACAATGAGAGCTGTCGTCGTGGGTGAGTGTGGAGATTTTATAAGCCAAGTGCACATTATCAGTACAACAATAGTTTTCACAGATGGAAGTGATAGGAGGTTGCTTTTTTTTAAAAACATCTTTAGAATTAAAGAAATCGAATTCCTAGAAACAATGAGAGAATTAAATATACTAAAATAAATTATAATATATAAGATATATATATAAGATAAGGTGAAGCTGGCATCCAAAAAACTCGGTGTGCTCAATAGAGCGAAGCATTACTTTACGCCGGATCAGCGATTAATGCTTTACAAATCGCAAATCCGGCCCCATATGGAGTATTGCTGTCACTTATGGGCGGGAGCACCTAGATACCAGCTTGAACCCTTCGACTCAGTGCAACGACGAGCTATGAGAATTGTCGATGATCCCATGTTTGCAAGCGGTATCGAACCCTTAAGTCTTAGGAGAGATTTTGCCTCACTCTGCGTGTTCTACCGCTTATACAACGGATTGTGCTCAGAGGAATTATTCAATATGATGCATACGGCCACTTTCTATCATCGTAAGGCTCGCCATCGACAGGGAGTTCACCCTCATACCTTACAGCCTAAATGGTCGCGTACAACGGGGTTTCAGCGATGCTTTCTCCCACGAACACTCAGGTTATGGACTGAGCTCCCTGCCGAGGTTAAAACATTCTGCATTTTTGCGATTGTTTTTACATTTCGTGATTGTTTATTGTGAGGGTGACTTCAGAGAAAGTTCCTTTAATGCTATTTCAAACGAAAGTAGAAGTCAAAGAAAGAGGGTAAGATATATGTTTTTCTTTAAGTTATACCCGCTTTTCTTCAGATACGTAACTATGACTTTCAATAGGGTTAAAAAACGCGTTCAAAACAAATAGTCCTGGTAAGAACCCGTCAATTACGAATATTAAGTATAGATAGAATAGTTTGTATGCCAATTTCAATAATTTAATAACATCTATACTTAACAGACGCTAATGGGTACAAGCCCTAGTTGTGGTACCCATGGCAAGTGACAAAAGTGATGTTCAAATGTGCAGTGACCCGCGACAGTAGTCACAAATCACTTTTCCTTCTCCACATTAGAGTGTTCCACTACGTCGTGTGCAGTCGTCGATACGGAAAATATAAATTTTCATCTTGAGTAAAATTTATATCAGTTTGATATAATGTATAAAACATATTTTCCAATCACAATATTAAGGGTAAGTACAAAAACAACTAATATTATTAACATATTTTATAACTCCAATATTTATAAATATATTACTGGTTTTAAATTTAATTAGAAATATTTAAAGTAATTATAAGATTAAATTTTTAAATTACATACATACATACATATCCGTCAAGCCTGTCTCCCATTAGGGTAGGCAGAAACAATGGAACGCCAAATACTTTGATTCAAACAAAGCCTTTTCGCTTCTGCCACAAAATGAAAATTTTAATTAATGTATGTTACATTTAAATAATTCACATTAAATAAATAAGATAATATATTAAATATTTAATAAGAAACTGACAAACGGTGGAAAGCTGCTAGATGTCTATAGGCATAAAATATTGCATAGAGGTTACTAAAAGGATTTCTCGAAATTTACAAAGGAACGGGAGATAACAGATTCTGCATGGACAAAGCCATGATGAAGAACTAGTTTTAAAAATTTATGACTAATATAATACTTTTGCATTATTAAATGCTAGAGAAATCATTTATTATCCAACATTAAACATTAGACTCTCCAATAAACTAAATAATAAAACAGCTAAGAAATAGTTGAAAACTATCTTCATGGCATTGTCTGTATATATATATAACGAGAATATTGAAGAAAAACTTCAGGAAGAGGTCGAAATAATTGTCGGAAACGACAAACTTAGTTCTGAAAATTATCATTATAGATATCTTCACGACGTTAAAATAATTATGATCTCTTCTCTTCCAGCTGATTTTGATAGTAACAAGTAATGATTCATTTTATAAAAATGAATGGATACCTATTTCTAAGAATGATATATTACTGTATAAACTGAAGCATAATTTTATAAGCAGTAGACATAATGTGGCAAATGATGATGCAATTAATGACACAGCAACAACTGTTGAGGAGGATGATATGAAATTGTTAAGAGACGGTGTAATTAAGGTGGTGACACCTCAAATTATATTAAATACCAGACCTTTCCGTGATCCATTTCAAGAAAATATAAATAGAAATAAATTTCAAGAGGTGTCTAATGAATGTTTAGGTAAGTTATGAATTTCATAAAAAAATATCAACATATTCATATTAGTTGTAGTTAACAGCTAACTGCTGCTGTCCACTGCTGAACTAAACTAAAAGTTTATGTATCTTCCCCATAAGGGAGGTTTTGCCAGTAGCCGTCACACTTGGCAATTGAGTTAGCAACTGCAGTGAAGTTCTTGTTGATGTTTTAAGAGGGATGCTGCTTTTCATCTCTCAGCCATTAAGTATCTATATATACCAATGAATGTATTTATTTATTGGAGTAATAAATTTTGTCACTCATTTTGTTAATAAGACCAATTATATTACTATAAAATGTCATTTTTATTTAACTGTTACTATTTTGAAAATCAAAATATTGTATTTATTAAATTACTTACTAGAATTATTCATTTATTCGTCAGAGTGCAAGAATGATCCTGAAAACTTAGAGGTTCAAAATTCAATACAACCGACTGAGGAAAAACATACACAAAAAATATACAATATTACAAAAGCTGTTCGTAAATCTAAAGCGATTACAGAAAACGAACCTTTAAAATTTTTTAACAATATTGTCAAATTAAATAATAAAATCAATAATATTGGTGAAAACAAAGATTTTCCTAGAAGTGAAGATATAAGTACAGCAGAATCTCATAATACATATGAGGTAACAGAAGATTTTGGAAGACCTAAAATTGAAGTTAATCAAGAGAATAACGAAAATAAATATGTATATCCAGTACCGAAAAATAACTTTTACGCTTCTAGTAATAATGAAATTAATTCATTTAAAAATGTATTAAGTCAGTATAATATTCGAAATGATGATAAATTATCAAATTATGCTATGTCACGTTTGAGCAGAAATAATGAATTCGTCGACAAACACAAAAATATTTTCATACCAATCTCAGTACCTTACGGATACAGTTACAACAGTATAAATCATTTGCCAGTAAATCCGTTAATTGCTGTATATTTGTCAAATTATGGTTATTATTTACCATCTTTGTATGGGTTGCACAATAATTATAAAAATCTGTATGGATACTTGGCATCAAATAATATTCATAATAATTTACCGTTTGGCCAATACAAAATATATTCTGATACAGACTCTTCAAATTGAATATAAAAACTGTAATATAAAAAAATATTAAAAGTATTAAATTTAAAAGAAATGGTTATAAAATTGTACGTTAAACTATATTTAAATTATTTATAATATAATTTAAGAAGAAATGAATTTTTATAAAATAAAATGATATAATTATTTATTAGTTATTTATATTAATATACGTTATATTGTATTGTTGTAAACTATATATTTGGTACGTAAAGATTATTAATCAAAACTTCATTTTATTATATTTTTAAATTCTTTAAATTGCTATTTGGCAATGATTGAACAATATAATATGGATAAAAGGACAAAAAAAACAAAGTAACCGGCATAGCCCGAAGTGAACAACAACTCAAAACTGAAGAACTGGGATGGTTACATAGCTAGAAGAACAGACAACCGATGGGGAAGAAAGGTTCTTGAAAAGAGGCTGTAGGGGCAAATGTAGTGTAGGACAACCCTCCATTAGAGGGGGGAAAGGGATTGTTAGTTATGGAGTTTGACAGCCCTATTGCTAGCAATATGCCCTATTAGGTCGACCTCCACGTGGTTCCCCCTGGAAACCATCGTGAACAATTCTTGTTAAATTCGTCACGATGGGCTAACTGACCTGCTTCATCCTCACCTATCGTCTTTCACTGGTGCCCCGCCAGCGTATCCCGTTAGCGCAGGTGGGATTACCATTCCATTTTCACCCATGAAAAAAAAAAAACCCTCCATTAGATGGAACACTGATCTTAAATGCAATGAAAGTCAGTGGATGCAGGTGGTTCAAGAGCGCCCCTTATGGTATATGGTGGAAGCCTATTGTCCAGCAGTGGACGGATAATGGCCGAGATGATGACGATATTATGAACAAAACATACATCCACTTTATATATTATATACTAAATAAAAATAATCTCACTTTTAGGATACTATAGTTATTAGCCTTTTGGAATATCTGTCGATCTATTTTATATAAACTTAATCTTTTGCAGCGAAAAAAAAAAAAAATTGTGGTAAAATTAATATCAAAGTGACACGCAAGTGAAACACATCAATTGTAAAATAATTTAAATTTGTGAAAATATCTCATAATATAGATACTAGTGTCCGACCGAAACAGGTTTTACAGCCGAAACCGAAACCGAACTTTCGGCCTTGGTCTTAGTTTTGGCCGAAACCGAAACCGAAACTTACTGAAACATATTTAAAATTTCTCTTCTATACTGAAATCTAGTGTATTTTTTACACAAATACACAGATAGTTAAAGGGTAATAATAAACACTAATTAAAGTGTGTAACAAATATGTCATATATATTTATTTATATGTAAAAACATGTTAAAATTATGACTTGAAAGTAAACTTAAAAAAACTTTCAGTTAGACACACACACAACACAAAAACACACAAAGTTTCAGCGCGGCCGAAAGTTCGGCCAATTTTTGGCCGAAACCGAAACTAAGTCCGAAAGAAGAATTTCTGGCCGAAACTAGCTAAAACCGAAACCGAAAGTTCCGTTGGACACTAATAGATACATAAAATTGCTGGCAAATTGAGACACTCCTTTTGAGAATCTAAAGAAAGAAGAAACGTGTCAATTATTGGCCTATTAAAGAGCACAAACATTCTCAGTAACAAAAACAGTAGCTTCAAAATCCTATTATTACATGTCCGAGATGCTCACAGCTAGATTTTTACAAACAAACATTTTCACTGACGTCTAAAAGTTATCCTTAACAAATAGAGTACTTATTCTCTTCACGGGTAGTTACAGTTGTTCACTAAAAGGCTCCAGTTTAAAAATCATAGCCATGAATGTCCACTGCATAACTAACTCGACAATATTTATAATACTTTTCATTATTTTCTTACTGCACTTATATTAAAGTTCAAATTTCCATAACATGGTGACAGCTGTTTATTTTGTTGGTGTTTTGGAGAATATCCAAGTGGCCACAGGCGACAGTTTCATGTGGACCGCCGAAAAGTTAGCGTTGAATCGAGGCCGTTCCTGGTTTGCGGTGATAACGTTAAGATTGTTGGACTTTGTATTTTAAATACGTTTTTTGAACGTAGTTACGAGTATTTGTATTAAATAAATAAATACATACTCTTGTTTGGATTAGCTTGTTAGATTTGGTTTGCAATAAGCAATATTGTTCTCCAAAAGTAAAGCAATAGCTTCAATTATTACACAGAAAAGAGCATGTTCCTTTTTAAAAGTCCAGTAGCATATTTGCAATTTCTCTGTTGTTTCGGGTGCTTAAAGGCAGCGGTAGTCTTTTATTTTTGTAAAACGGATGATAATGAAATGGTAAGCTCACTTGCGCTATCGGTATACGCTGGTGAGGCACCAGTGAGAGATGTTAAGTGAGGGTAAAAGCAGGGGGAACCGCGTGGAGGTAGAGCTGATAGAATATGTTGTTAGCAAGGGCAGTTAGACAAGACGGTAGTCATTTACTGTCAGATGAGCCACATACTCGTTTGCCTCATGTGTTATAAAAAGAAAACATAATTATGCCAATATGTTATAGAGAAGAAAAGAATTATAAAAATCGAATCAGAATTGGTGAACATATTCAATATACAAAAAAAAAGTAAAATCAAATTGACAGCTTTTTTGACATCGATTAACAATAGAAACAAAAGCTTACAATCAAGAAAAATCAACGGAGAATGACCGAAATTTTCGAGGGAAAAATGTACAACTTTTTTTTCGAGCCCGAAAATTACGTTGTACTTCATAATTTCACCGTTTTCCGAATGCTTTTCATACAAACGAAGTGAAACCGCCTCGTCACCATTACGGGCCATCAGATTTGCGAGTGGCTTTCCCGTAATCAGTCCCGTTACGTTTTTATGAACAAATTTTCCGGCCCAGCGGAGGCCATTGCTTAAGAGGCGAAAACTCAATAAGGACGCACATTATGGAGTGGTTTTTATTTTGCTTCAAGGTGTGTGTATTTTTTTTGTATAATAAAAGAAAGGCCAAACAAACTGACGACGGTCTACTTGATAGAAAGATATAATCATCGCAATATTGTTACCACTCTTGTTAATTTAGCGACAATAGTTTGAATGCTTATTTTCTGTTTCCGATTTTAGGATCTCTCCATATTATAAAAAAGCAACGAGAAAAGACTTAGATTATTTGTTGTGTATCAAATTATATGTATGTATCAACATAATCGTATCAGACATTATCTGTCCACTTCTGGACTTAAGCCTCCCACATAGACTTCCATAAGAAATGGTCCTGAGCCACCTCCATCCATTGACTCACTGCAAAGCGTTTGAGGTCGTCACACCATTTAGTAAGGGCTCATCCTGCACTAGCTTTGTCCGTAAGGGATTACCACTCAAGAATATTTGTTCCCTATCAGTGGTCGGTTCTTCGAACTATGTGACCAGCCCTTTGCCACTTCAGCTTGCTTATACTTACATATATGTATATATGGTTTTTATTGCCAAAGTTTAAACGTGGCTTGCACTTGTGACAAGCCCCGATTGTGAATTTAAAATATATCTGTGCCTCTAGTGAGAAAGGGTATAACTCAAGTTATAGCCTTTTTCTTTTTTAGGCTACTTTAAATAAGCAAATTTTTCTCTTTCGAATGGTATAAGAATCGTAACGATATCTTTAAAAACAATAGAGATAGTAAACATGTAAAAGGCTACAATTAACAAAATATTTGTGGTAAAAAAGTCATAATTAGAAATAAAACTACAATATTTTACAAAAAATAGTGCCAAAAATGACAAGATACTTAGAACCAACCTTTAAATATGAATTTGTTTTTGTGTAAAATGAATCAGTTCGATTTGAACCCTTTTACACCATTTAATAGCAATTATTTTTTTTATAGCGTAAAATACACAACATTGTTTTTCTTCAATACTTCAATAAAATAGTTTTAATTGAACTTAAAACTATTTTCACATGATAATTTTAATATTTTTGTTAAGTGTGATTAGGTATAATAGAATTATTTTTAAAACTATAGGTTTTACACAAAAACCGACAATTTCATAAGAAAGAGGAGAAAAAAATACTATAAATGCAATCATTGACTTGTTCAATTAGCAAATAATAAAAGCAGCAGAATTTTTTTTCTTTATTTAAAATAGTTTTTTGGCTCTCCTGAAAAGTGGCCATTTTGAATTGAACCTATTCTCACTAGAGGCACAGATATATGGTATATTTATACTTATAAATATAAGTTTAAAATTTATACATTATTAACTTTCGGCTTCAATTATCAATTTCTTTTATTATAATTAATCAAGGTTCTTTGAGACAAATCTTAAAGTATGAAAGCATAAAGCAATATAAGTTTTCGCTTTTTTTTTCGTCACAACTTATTTCTTTTGACCGGCAGAGAATTTATCATAACGGACATTTTTTTAAAAACTGACTCGTTTTTATTATATTATTTAATATTGTAAAATAACGAATTGTCTGCATCGTGACACACCATTACTCATTTTGTTTACACCTGCCTGCGGACCCAGTTTGATGAATCGACGAACTTTGGCTATTGTCGAAAAATTGAAACAAATCTAATAGCCGCTTGAAAGTTTAAATTACGTGTTATATTTTATAAACGGGAGTTATTTCTATACGATGAGAATGAGGAGGTCCTGCTTAGGGTTAAGGAAAAAAGATAAATTATAAGAACTATTGAGGACAGAAGGGAAAAAATGTTGGGACACTTGATACGACGCGACGAACTTATGAACATTATAATAGAAGGTAAGTTAGAAGGAAGGAGGGGGAGAGGGAGAACGAGACATAGTTACATCAGGCAGATCAAGGAAGGAGTTGATGTCGTGTCGTATCAAGAGGTGAAGAGACTCGCTGAAAATCGTAGTGAGTGGCAAGAGCTCCACCGACAAGAGCGCAGCTCTTAAATAGGATAGATAGATAAACTAGAAAGAGACTTTGTACTTTTAAGTCGTTTTGCTTAGGTACCTCTGTCCTATTTGTATTTCTACCGTGAAGCAATTGAGTTCGCATGGCTGTGTTTCAATTTGAAGGGCATATGGTAGTGAATTTATAGGGTACAGAGGTATAGAATCTTGGTTCTCAGAAATGGCAACACATGGGGATATCATGAGCGAAACAGCATGCTCTCTTGTCCATGGTACTGTTCATGTCTATAGGTGACGGTTACCACTTTCCATCAGGAGTGCCGTCAGCTTGTTTGATATTCAAAGTTGCATAAAAAATATATTGTAAATCTGTAATGTAATTCTCTGTATACTACATTATCAGCGAATAGCATAGGCTATGGGTATATTATTTTCAATCTACCCAAACAAAGCCAGGACCAATCGCTAGTTATATATATAAGGATAATAGGAAACTTGAAATCATCGTATTATTTCGAGTGTATCTCTAAGCGCTTAGTTTATTGCACCGAAGCGTACCGCGATTAGAGGCGAGTTTGCACACGTCCGTTATATAGCTTTATACAGCTTAAACCGTTTCGCTCAAAAACAAACACAAAAACCAATTAATATTGTTAAAGAAACGTTTATATGGTTGTTTATTTTTATGCAACTTTAAAACTGAAGAGGTTCCAATTCGTGCATATGTCGCGAGATATTTTCTTAAATTCTGATTTAAAAATTCTTTTTGCAATAAGTTATTTAATTTTCTTAAAAATAAAGATCTATATTTTTTTGAGAAAATTAAATTTGATTTATTTATTATTATTAATTTGAAATTACATAATTGTTCTTTTGTAATAATTACCTTTTTAATAAATAAAACAATCTCTCTCCATTTATTAAAATAAACAAAGTAAACATTTTCAATGTTTTATTCTTTAAATGAATCTATTTAGAAGCTATATAGATTGATACGACAGAAAAATTGTAATAAAATAAAATAAATAAATAAATGCCTTACAAATATATATAAATATATATATAATATTATAATACTAGGTAGGTTGGTGTTGTGGGCGATCATGGGCAGCGGTAGTCACTTACCATCAAGTGAGCCGCATGCTCGTTTTGACCCTTGTGTGCTGTAAAAAAAAAAGGTACTACTTACATTCCGCAAATTTTCAGACTGTGAACTAGAATATAGAGTTCTTTACATATATACAAACATACCTGTAATGCCTGTTTCTCATTAGGGTAGGCAGAAACAATGAAATTCTTCAAAACGGGTATATTAAACTTTCTTCAGGGTCAGCAACGCGTACGAGATTAGCTCTCATACTGCAAGTGTTCATAACCCATTTACCATCAGACGAGATGTACGTTTGTTCACCGTATTTGTGGTATAAATGGATTCGTACAAAAAATATACGGTATGGGCCCCTAAAACTAATACAATCACCTGTCTACACACTATAAACACACCGCACTGCCCTCGTATTCGACCGATCAAGTGCAAGTGACCGGAAAAGTTCCAGTTTTTCCGCGCCCCCGTACTCGAGTGGAGGAAATGTGTTTCATTTCCTGCGGCGTCCCCGAGGGTGACGGTCCCGCGTCAACACGGCTTGAACACTTATTTACTATATTATGAAACATTTTATACATCACTAGCATTGCCAATGATTGCTTTTCAAATACTTTTTTACTCAATAATAAACAATAAATCACAATTCCATAAAGGTGAAATTAGAAGCTTGAAATTTTGTTAGTTATTGTCGCCGTGTTATCCAAATTTTGCTGAGCATATTAGAAAGCATATTACCAGAGGGAGATTTTGTACAAAAGTCGATTGCTTGGGTAACTCTGTCGCATTCGTGTTTCAACCGTGAAGCAGCTGTGTTTGCATGGCTGTGTTTCGGTTTGAAGGGTGGGATATGGTGTGAATTTACTGGGTACAGAGGAATAACATTTGAGTCCTCAGGAATGGCAACGCATGGGGGGTATCATGGGCGAAACAGTATACTCTGTTATATCCATGGTACTGCTCATGTCTATAGGCGACGGTTACCACTCTCCATCAGGTGGACCGTCAGCTTGTCTGCCATTCTAAGTTGTATAAAAAAAAACGACAATGGAGCGAGCCTACATGTCATTTGGTTTTTTTTATGAGAAGAACATAGAATGGTAACCCATCCAGTGCTATCGATATACATTAGTGGTGTACCAATGAATGATGTCAAGTCAGTTGGTCCATCCTGATGAATTCACCAGATATAGAGCCATAGCATGAAGGTCACCCGACTGGGCATATTGCTAGCAATGCAGCCGCAAGTTTTCACTTACTACAATCCTTTTCCCTCATTCAGATATGTCTTCCAATTATTAACGTTGTGGTAAAGGTTTTTTTTTTTATAACACAGGGGGCAAACGTAAGTAAGTAAGTGACTACCGCCGCCCATCATCACCCACAACACCTTAAAAAGGAATATGCTCTTTTCTTATAAGGTAATATTTGATATGTCCAGATTTTGGAAGCATATTAGATTTTAACATGACAAGTCTGCCATCTGCCGTCACTAGGGTGAATCTTATTCGTTATCAGTCTCTTTCGTCACTAGAGAAGAGTTTACTTATAATGAACATTTACTTGTATTACGTGAAAAGTAAAAAGTGTCGTATCATGAGACTGGCATTGATCAGTGGCATCGGGTCCCTTAGAATTCAAACAAACTCGTGTTTGTTTCCCAAAAAAAGCTACAAGTGTTTTTTTCAATTGGCATAAAGTTTCTAATATCAACAAGATTGGAACGCAATACCTTTGAAATCGAGGTATTATACGACTGGGTCATAATGCAGTCACCACGACCAAAACTATGATGTCCGTAACATGGTAAGGACGAGTGATAAAGCGGCACTGTGTCGCAGACGGCGCTGGTTTATTCATTAGAACTGCGGCAATACATCGCCAACACACTCAATAAACTGCTGATAGAACTCCGACACACACGCCTCGCTTTGTACGGCGTCGGTTAAGGTATGAGAGGTGAGCGATTACATATTAATACGCTTAGATCTCAACCATGCATTGTTCAAAAGCCATCTGCAATAGATACCTTTGCGGGGGCATTGTTCAAAAGATATTCTCTATCCCATTTGTCTTTAAAATACCATGACGTTTGATCACACTATCCTGAGTCAGGGACAACATGGTCTCTAGATGCGAACAATCAAAATTAAAATGCACTACTCCCAGCTCCTGTCATAGAATGAGCCACTTCTTACTTTTCCATGGATGTGGTAAGAAGCAACTAAGGGAATTTAACGGCAGACGGGTGTGTAGCGTCGCTCTTAAAACAATACCAAAAGCCTAACTGCTGTAGCCACTGCTCCTGCCAAGTTCGGCGTCTACTGGCATAACCTCCTTTATGGGGAGGAAAGGGATTGTTAGTAATGGAGACTGAGAATCCTATTGCTAGTAATATACCCAACCAGGTCGACCTCCTCGCGGCTCTCCCTGGAAACTATCATGGTTATTTCCTGATGAATTCATCATGATAGGCTAACTGGCCTGTTTTCATTCTCACCTATCATTCTTCACTGGTGCTACGCCAGCGTATCCGTTAGCGCAGGCGGGGTTACCATACCATTTTCACCCATCAATAAAAAAAAATCTTTATGAGCGAGACCTATGTTTCACAGTAGAGAGTTAACAGCTGATATGATGATGAATCGATTGATTTACGAATATACATGTACTAAGGATTGAATTAAATAAACGAAAAATCACATTCTTGCAGATTTAGAAGTTATTATAATATTTTATTCATATAATTATTTATTATTTATTGCACAATAAAACTTTGTACAAGTGGCGAGCTTAATGCCATATGGCATTCTCTACCAGCTAACCATTAAGTAAAAACAGAAAGCGTATGAAGGGTAGATGTGGTGAAATATGTGACATAATTATAGCAACATACTGAAATAATTATACATAGTAATACATAAGAAATACACATAAATACTACTTATAATATATATATATATATATATATATATATATATATATATATATATATTTTTATTTGGAATATATATAAGCTTTTTAAAAATTATCACTATATATATATATATATATATATATATATATATATATATATGAAAAATAAATTTAATTATATGTAAATCTCTAACTTTGAAAAATAAATTTACTATGTCCTATTTATTCCATTTCATTTTCTCAAGTAGAAAAAATTTATCCGAACAATTCCTAAACTAGTTAGGTGCTATAAACTCGAATACCCCATTTCATTTAATAGCGTACACTAATACTCGCCGTTTGATATCTTGGACCACGTTTCTGAAGTTATTGCCTCTCGATGTGAAAACTTTAGATTTTCCTTCTTTTATTCAGGGCGAACTTGGCGGTTTACAGACTTTAATGAGTCTGATGAAGCGCTGTGCTCCACGTCCATGAGTGCTTCGGCACAGTAATTGACGAGAATTTACGAAACTTCATAAATTCATCTTGTATGTTGCGTCTCTTATTTCTCCACCGAAGTTGTATCAATCACGCTGTGGGATAAGCCATTGTTGGGATGCTTGGAGTTATTCTTCTTTGCTGTTGTTATTTTATTTCTAATTGACAAGAATTTGACTACACATGTTGTTGATTCAAGTTTTTTCTGCCATTCGGAATATAAAAGAAACTGATGCTCAACTAATGAAAATTGATAATCGTCGCCTATAAACGTAATTCCTTTTTTAACAAATATATCCTTAAATGGAATATAATATAATTGTTTTGTACAAAAATACACTTAACTGCCAAATATCTCAATTTTATTTTTAAACCAAAATATAATAAATGGATGTTTAAATGATTAAATTACTCAATTGCATTTAAATTATTTTTCATTCCTTTCATTTTACATGTTTTAAAGAATGCTGGGTTATCTGCTTGTATGCCATTCTTAGAATGGAATAAACTAAGTATCATAAAAAAGGATTAACTTGGTATTTTTCTCTAAAGGTGTCTTTTTACATATTTCATTCGTGTAAATGATAAAACAGATTTTCTTGTTTCATATATAGACAAACCATATTCATGACCCAAAATACAATAAATTTTCGTAATTATGTATGTGGTATATATCCCGCACTAGTTGTAGCTAGTGTTACCTGTAATTAAAATCAAAATTACACAATAACAAAACTATTCTCGCCAAAATATATTTGCAACACTCACCTTACACATGGCAACCCTCCAAACTACTCTGCGCCGGTATAGAGTAGATCCGGCAAAAAGTACAAAATACTGTCACAGTGCAAACTGCATTTTCCGGTCTGCGGCATCCGTGTCACCCGGTGCGTACAGTATGCGACTCTAATGCTCAGATTGGAGTGGATTTAAAAGTTTGCACATAGCTTCATTACTTTAAAAAGAAATATGAATTATACGTTACTTTCTTTATTTTTCTAAGGTTAGTGGTTACATAGCTTATAAAAGAAAGAATATTTACTGGGTACATAAGTTATATGAGCTACCTACCGATGTTTACCCTAGAGACTATAGTATAATGGTTTTTAAAAAGGGTATATTAAGGTTTCTTCAAGGTCGGCAACGCGCATGTGATTTCCATAGTGTTGCAGGCGCCCATATGCCACAGTGGCCGTTTACCATCAGACAGGCTGTATGCTTGTTTGCCACCTTCGTATAAAAACAAATATAGCCCTGATAAATTACTATTTGAATGCCTATCGAAGTTCACAAAGGCTTAACGCACGTATTGCCAACCCTGAAGCCCCTTTACTGTTTTTTAAAGAAATCCATATTGTCAGCCTGTAGTATATTATATAACATTATTTTATGCAATCCTTCAAATAAGAACAAAACAATTAAAACCTTTTCAACGTTTATAACGAATTATAAAAGAAAATCAATTTGTTATCGTAATCATTAGACAAGAGGCGAAAGAATTTAAAGTATAACCACTATAATATCACTATAATTAAACAAAAAAACGTGACTATGACAAAATAACAAAATGGTTATTTGATTAGAATTATTTTGTTTAATTCCGCTACCTATAGTATGTGTGTGACTGCCAACACTAGAAGATTGGCCACCACTATTACTACTCCGACTGCAATGACAGTCGAAGATTAATAGCTAATATAGAAGGTTATGGAACTTCTACTAAAAATAATAGTAGTCAATCTTCTAGTGTTGACAGTCACGCACATACTAATGGTAGCGGAATTAAACAAAATAATTCTAATTATCTAACCAATTATATGGACTTACGCAACATAACACCTAGTTGAGTAAAATAACAAAATGTTAGATACGTATTATTATTTTCTGTTTGAGAGAAAATTTTGGGTTTAAAAGTGAATATTTTTTGTACATTTAAAATTACTTATTATAAAATCCTCGTATACAATACTCTTAGACAGATACAAATTCCAATTTCAGCCAGGGACAATGTCATTATTATAAAGAAATTATTAAAATTCAATTTATACATTTTATTGAAGCTTTGAAATATTGAGTTCGTATTATAAATATTCAGCGTGTTGTTGCATAATGAAATTTCTTCAATATTTTTATCATTAGACGTTCTATTATTTTATAAATGGGAACTTGATGTGGGTCGGAGTTGGTGCGATGAGTCTGCCCTTAAATTCATATCTAAGGTCTCTTCTTTATATTATAGTGTCTTAATTTTTAACCGACTTATAAAAGGATCGGAAAAGACTTACAATTTGATTGTATTTTTAAGCGACTTTCAAAAGAATTCGATTGATTCTTTTTACAATTATTTTAAGCGATTACTTCACCAATTCTGAATTCTTTTACACAAGAATGTTTGCAATTAAAAGAGTTTGCCCTCATTTGTTGATTTTTATATATTTTTTTATACATTTATATAAATAAATAAATAAAAATAAGTCTCTTAATAGTAATACATTTTTCCACTAACGTTGTAGCGCAGTCAATGTGACTTACAAACCAAACTTAAGCTCACTGAATTGAATAATTCAAGTTAAGTGTAGCAAAAAACGGAATAAGTATTTTCTTTTTCTGCAGATTGGACGGTATTAAGTACTCGTGGAGACAAGTTGGAGACAGAGTTCTTTTCTAAATTCTTTGCATTTTAATGTTAAGTATGTTTTGTAACTGCTTTTATTAATTTATTATGCCATAATTCTGAATCTTTTCATAGTTCCACACAATTATATAAGTCACATTGTCCTCAAGCTAGGATTCTCTGTTATGAGAAGCCAGGCAACGAAGATTTGGGGATAGAATCTAGTACACTAAATAGTACCAGTAAATTGGCCTGACTGAAATTTCAACTCAGGACCTCATTACACAAAATATTGTGCTTCCTGGTGCGCTACGGAGGTCGTCGGAAATGAGATATGGCATTAAAGTTATCAGATTCGGAGGCATAGCATGCCATGTGAGTCAAAAACGCTTGAGACTTAACTAACCTGAACATCGGGGGAAAGAGATTTTTGGCAATGGAGTTTGACAGCCCCATTGTTAGCAATATGCCCTATTAGGTCGACTACCACATAGAAACCATCGTGAACAATTCTTGTTGAATTCGTCACGATGGGCTAACTGACCTGCTTCGTCCTCACCTATCATCTTTCACTGGTGCCCCGCCGGTTTATACTGATAGCACAGGTGGGGTTAACATTCCATTATCACCCATTAAAAAAAACCTGAACATCAAAATATTTATTAAATAGATTCTGTAACGGAAATGATAATTACAACTTTTCATCTTGGAGGGCCGTCAGCTTGCTTGTCATTTGAAATTGCTTAAAAAAATCCAAATTCCAAATCCGTAAACAGAAGCGTGCAAAAACAAAATTGCTATTACAAAGTTGCAGGCGCCACGGCATTCCGATGCGACCTTCGCATAATCCAGCCACTCTCGTAAATGGATCTCATTTGCGAGAGCCTCCGCCGGCTAATTTCCGACGCCTGCTCAATTAATTCGCTAATTACCGATCGT